TCTTTTCTTTCTCTGTCTAGATCTACAGAGGATGGCAAATGTGAATCAATTATTACTTATAAAAAAGGTTGGAAATTTTTCAAAACAGAATAAAATTAGAGAACATTGGGTAAAATCATGTCAATTTTGAGAAAGAAAGAATATATATTATATTGTGGGAGAAAATGACTATACATATATAACAATTTAACCTGGGATAAAATATATTTTGAGCGAATTATAAAAGTTTTCTCCCTTATTATCCCATCTAAATTAGTATCTTTTTAGTTAAAATATCGACATTTTTATAAGAATCCAACTAAAATAGATAAAATTAAAGAAATTATTAAACAACAAAACATCATCAATTCCTAATTATGTTAAATGAGTTTCTGAAGTAAAAACATTAATATTTTAGAGTCTCCTTCCACATGTAGAAAGGATATCATCGTAAAAATCAACGCTTGCGCCTCATTATTTAATACATTCCCATTTTGATTAAAGTAAACTAAATTAAATTTAGTTAAATCAAATAATTAAATCAGATTAAATTTAATTAAGTAATTAGATTTTTGTTTCTTTATCTTAGTTTCAGCATATTCTTATTTTTTGCGTAATACCCGGACTCTAAAAGTAGTTCGGGAATAAATTTTTCTTATGAAATTATTTAGTTAAAATAATTAATTAATCTATTTGAAAGAAAAATTTCGGCAAAATAGGTAAAAATTTGAGTTCAATTTGTGTTTTTGAAAGAAAAATTATAAATAGAGGATCAAAGTGCAAAAAATAAAAATTTGGCCATGTGATAGGACCCAGTTAGTAGTCCCGACGAACCAAAGCACACCACGTATCAAAACACATTAACATCGGTGCCACGTGAGAGACCATGCTGGCAATCCGCGTGTCCAATGATGTGACGGCTCAAGTTCGATCCCGCTCGCGTGAACGACTCAGATTTGTTTCCTCCTCAAGTGCAAAAGGACGAACGAGATCAATCGCGATGAACGATCCAAATCAATGTGGGATGATATAAATACCTCGTAACGCAAGGGAACCCAAACCTTAGCCGTCAGCCCCTGCCCAGAGAAGAAGAATCAGGCATCCGAGAAGAAGGCCGACCGCTGACCACTGCCGCACCGGAGTCATCGTCGACCACTAGAAAAGATTAAAAAATTTCACACCCACTCGAAATTCGATTCCGAACATCCTTGTGGCCATATCAGAGTAAAAGGGACAACGGTTGAGCTGAAAACTGTGGGTAAAGTACAGTAGAGTCACCGTGGCCAAAATCAAGGAATCCCTCTGATTAACTCATTTTCGCTTTTCGTTTCACACAATTTTTCGATCTTTGTGTTCACTGTCCTCTTTTGTGTAGATCAGTCGAAGAAGGAACTATAGCCGCGAATGAAAACCAGCAGAGCCGTTGCACCCGGAGACCCTCCCGCCGGTATGTTCAGTTTTTGTGATTTTTTGGCTAACTGAGCCCCCCTAACGTATTTTTTTGCAGGGATACATGTAAAATAGTTAAAACTGGCCAAAACTGACCAAGCCAATGCGAACCACTGCCGTGGGCGATGGAACCGGTGTCGGAGCACAACGGCACTACCGTGCTGAAACCCTAAAATTGGCTGGAAAGAGCTTTGGACACCAATTTTAAATTTTTATTGTATTTTTAGGTACGTGACGAGCATTTTAGATTCCGTAAAAAAAATTCAAAAAATCTAATACCCGTTAGGAGGTGTAATAGACAGCATGACGTCTCGAAATACCGATCCGAATATTGATCCCTTACCTATTCTCTGTTACAGTAAATTGAGACTTAACGATGTATAATTTTGTATTTTTGTGAAAAGATAAAAAATTCTAAAAATAATTACAGGTCACTATTGGAGTCAGAACCGGTTAGTTCACAATTGTCTTGATTTCCTATTTATTTTTCTGTACTATCCTACTTACTTGTTATCATATTGTGCATGTTTGTAATTTATAGTTTCAATAGGCTTATCGATTTATTTGGTTTATTCGGTTATCTGGTTACTCAATTTCTTATTATGATAAGTTATATCGTCTGCATAAATGTTGTTTAATTGATCTGTAAATATAATATGAGATATTAATATGTATTTATTGGTTATTTTGCTCGATGAGAATCTTTATGTGAAAGACTTACTGGATATCTAAGAAAATGGCGGACGGGCCCGGTACATAGAAAATCCTATCGTGAACATCATCTTAGTCAAACGGAACTGGGAAGTCCCATACTAGAAAGGTTTTGGATATATGGTTCACCCTCATACTAAACGGGGCATCAAGGCGATGGAGTATTTAGTGTCTATTATCAGATCGGGTTCTCACTGCGCCTACGGGTAGTCCTTAAATTCCCTAAATTTTTTCTGGAAAACTGAAACACATTTTCGATACCTGCACATGTCCCCAAAAAAGCCTAAATCACACCCAGGGCCCTTTCGACCAATATTGGAATTCTGGCACGACGGCTCCGTTGTGCTCCGGCAATGGCACCGCCGCCCACAGCGGCGATCCATATCGGGTTGGCCATTTTCGGCCGAATTCGGCCAAACTCGCATCGATTCCTGCAATAAAACACCCCTAGGGTCCTCGGTGGGCCAAAAAATTACGAAAAATCGAGACTTACCGGCGGCAGAGCTCTCGAGTGCGGCGGCTTCTCCGGCGCGAGTCGCGATTTGATGTTTTGCTCCGGTCAACCTGTAGAGAAAAGGATGGTGATCACAGTGGTGTAAAAATTGCATCGAACGGGAACCGAGAAGGACCTCATCAGAGGAATAAACCGAGGGAAGTCGCAGCAGTGCCGCTGGACTTCGATGGTGTTTTCTGGCCGACTGGCTGGTGGTTTGGCTTCGATTTGGCCATAGGCGGATTCAACATCGAAAAACGAGCCAAAGAGAGAAAATTTACCTCGTTTGGTGGTCGAAAAATCCTCCGGTGTGGCGGTGGACGGCTCCTCCGGTGACTGGGTCTTCTTCTCCGACGAGGGTACTGGTGGCTAGGGTTTGGGGTTAGGTGTGTGTGAGGTTATTTATAACATTTCCCTTTTAATCTCAGCCGTCCATCACGATTTAATATGGGCCGTCCGATTGCGATTAAAATGAGAATAAATCTGGACCGTCTATCGCGATGCGATCTGGGCTGTCCATGCGTGATTCAATCTGAGCCGTCCGCACACGTGAGATCTAAGCCGTCCGCACGCGTGAGATTTAAACCGTTCGATCGCGTGCACGCGGATCGCTCACGTGGCTCCGTCCCCCCGTATCCCCCCGCGTCAGCGTCCTTGCCACGCAGTGTGTCCTGGTTGGCTGGGGCTGCTGACTGGGCTGCTGATGTGGCACAACTTTTTTAAATTACATTTTGATCACCGGTTTTCGATTTTCCTTTTAAAAATATCTCCAGAATCCAAATTTTCACTCATTTTTTACAAAATCATTTTCAATTAATTCTCAAAAATAATTTTACCTATTTTTATCATTATTATTATTTTTATTCCCATTAAATAAATATAAATTAAATTATAACCTTATAAATTAATTAATAATAAAAATAAAAATAAAAATAATAGCAAAAAAAATCAAATACAATTCCAAAAAATAAAATAGGTCTTTTTGGGGTGTTACAAGGGTTGTGAATAATTTATTACCCGAACTCCCTTTAAGTACTAGCGAAGGTTATTGTATGATGCTTATTTATTCATTTTTTTTTAATTATCGTTTATCTTTTAAAAATGATATTCCTGTAATTCTATTAGATATTCTAAATTATTGTGTAAGGAATGTAAATCCTAACTCTATTATTCGCTTCCGCATTTAAATTATAAATTTATTTCTTTTAAGATTTCAGATATTTACATTTTGTTTTAAACCGTAAGTCATCCAATTTTTTTTCAAATAAAAATAATTGAGACCAAACTATATTATGTGTTATACTTCAAAAGCTAAATTGGTAGTTTTTTTTTTTAATGTTTGTGTAGATGATTGATTTTATTAATGAATAAATTATTTATATATTTAAATTAATTTAAATTTTGAATAGAAATGAAAAAAAGATTAAAAAATAATTCATTTCAATTCCATCTAATTCAGTCTAAATCGATTTGGTTCTAACTAAGTTAAAATTAATACAATTCAAGTTTTGCTTCAAATAGATCATAATGGTGTACTTTAATTTAGTTCAAATTTAAATCAATAAGAGAGGGGAGAAATAATAATAATGTACTTTGTTTTGTTTTTGGGAGAAGAATATATCTACTTTTTTAAAATTAAACTTTTTCATAAAAACAATTTTGATTTACTTTTTTAGGTGTAACTTTACTAGTAGTATTCATTACCATTTAGCATTTTTGAGAATTCTATTCTAAAAACATTTTTTGACAATTTGGTAAAATTAATAATACCTATGATTATATGAACTAATTAAGAAATATTATTTTTTGACCAATACATTATGAGAATATTATTGTTAAAAATTAGAGAGAGTTTTTAAGATTTATTAAAGATCAAGAAGTACCCTGCCACCTACTTACTTTGTGATTATTTTACTTCAGAACGAAGAAAATCCCTTTCAGAAAACTGATAAAATTCGTAATTATTTCATTTTATCCAAAATCCCGCTTTATGAGAACGCAAAAATATATAAACAAAATTAAAATTAAAAAGCAGAAATAGGATAAAAGGGTAAGCAGGAGTGTTAGTGGTTTTTGTTTCTCTCTCCACTTTAAACTAAACACTAACGCTTTTTCTCTACAAATTTTGCGGTCTTCGTGGAGAAATTTTGGTGCAGAATTTAGGGATCTGAAGCTACAAAATGAATCGCCACCAGGATCCCAACCCCTTCGATGAAGAGGAGGTTAATCCATTCTCGGTATGGTTCCTAATGTTTTTTTTAATTACAATTTTGCCGCTCCTCAGATCTGGCCTTGTTTTTAGCTTTTCAGTTTTATGTTTGTGGAGATTATGCAAAGTTTTAGTTGTTTGTTTACGGCTTTTATTTTGAGTGTTTGAATTATTAGGTGTATATTGGTGAATTTGGGGCTTATGATGTGGATCTGAAGACTATAGGGTGTAGAAGTTTGAAACTGGGAATCCGTTTATATGCTTAATTTTTTAGGTTTGGTTGGTGAGAAAATTTAGGAAATTAAGAATACGATTTTCTACTTCTTTTTCCGTGGGTAATGGAAGATTCTGTAGAAAAGGAAATAGCGGGAATCTCGGAGCAGGTAGCTTGCTGTTCTTGTTCTCCATTTTGCCGGTATCGAAGTGGCTGTATTAGTGAATTTGAAATTTGTGCATAATTTTCGTTTATTTTTGTTTGTTCTTAATATAGTGCTGTACTTAGAGTATGGGAATCCGTAGAGAAGGAATATGCACTAAATTTTAGAATTTGAGTGACAGTCGATGCTCAGTTGAGTGTGATAATACTGCTAGTTTTACTTGTTTGTTTTTTTAATCTTTTTGTTGGAAGCTTCTAGCCAACAGAAGCTTAGCAGAGTCCGAGCTAAGGCAATTTGCAAGGACATTAATCTGATTTTTATAATTGTGTAGGAACACAATAATGATTTCATGTTGACTAGGAATAGGAGTGTAATTTGGAGTTTGTAGAACAAGAAGCCGTGATGATGTCAGACACTTTTGAGCTTATTGTCTTGAGTGTTGAAGGTGGGAGATTTGGCTGTAAATTTATATGAGATATATTGGCTAATTCTTAATTGGTGGAAATTTGAAATAATTGAGTTTCAAAAGTTGGCAAAAATTTCTGGGAGCAAGTGAAAATTTACTAAGGTGCACCGCCTGATGTTATGTTTGAGCTGTAAGGAGAGTTACCAGCCCGTTAATTGGAAACCAGAAACCTCTATTTTAGGTTCTTTAAATCTGATTTCTGTTTATGCTCTTTTCCGTGATTGAACAACTATTTTCATTATCATCTGTAAACATTTGAATATCATTGTTGTTCTTTCTTATAAATGGTCACATGAGGTTAAAGAGAACTGCAGCTTGTGAGAAATCCTAGTTTTTCTATGGATTCAAGAATTCGATATTTTTTATATTTGAAATAGTGTTATCATCGGTATCCTTCCTCTAAATAAAAAGCAAGAAATTTGTAAAAGAATATGTAAATTAATGCTTCTAGAAAATTTTAAATTATTCAACAGGTGATATAACTGGTTAATCATTTTGGACCCTTCATAAATTGATTGTTAAAATGTGTGGCTAGATCCTGTTTGCATGAGACTAATTTCTACTACTAAGAAATTTTAAACTGAAAATAATATTTTGGATGGTTACTTTCTGGTATGATGGTCATTTTATTGATTCATTTTCTAATTCAATGTGATGGCTGTTGGTAAAAATGCATGCATGGTAATTGACAAAACTAACTTTTTGGTGCTGTATCTGCATGGTGAAATGTTATCCATTTTACTGCAGGGAAATGCATTTTGAACTTTTCAGATGCACTGCTACCCTCTTGAGTGCTTTCATACAACTTTATAAGCACGAATAACGCTACGGAGTTTGCTAGTTAACTTCTTATAGGATGTTTTGGATTGAGGTAAGTGAGGGAAAAGGAAGGAAAACGGAGGGAGTGCCTGCTATCCTTCCCTTTGTTTGGGTAAAAATTAAAATGTTACTAAAGGAAAGAGAAGAATGGTGGATATCCCTTGATTTCCCTTCAAAGTTCAGTTTTTTCAATCTACCTAAATGGGAAAAGGAAGAGACTTCAAATTTTTAGCAGTTAAATTTCTAGTTTACTGTTAATTGTTTAACTTGACATTCTATTAATAAATGTTATTCTTTTAAATTTTCTTTATTATCAATCGTGTAATCCTTTCAAACCAAAACCAGAAAAAGTAATTCAACAATCCTATCATTTCCTTTAGTTATCTGGATAAAGGAAACATGATGCTTTCCTTTCTTTTAGAAACCATCTTTTTATCCCCTTTCTATTCCAACCCTCACTAGTTTTAATCCAAACGTATTGTAAATGGTAAATCCTGCTTCCCAATGTTAAGTTCTGTTACTGGAAATTAGAGTTGGTTATAATGTTCAAGTAATGTTTGGTTTGTGTTCATTATTTATTGGTTGGCATTCTTAAATTAATGACATAATAATTGTGTACAGAAATCTGGACATCAATGTATTATTCATTTTTTGCAGGAATATGCCTTTTTGAAGAGATGCATTAGTATCCTTCTTAACTGTTTTACTAGGACATTTTTATAATGCGGTAGTAAATTCAAATCATGTATTTATTTATATTAATTTTGCTTCATTTGCTTGTTGGAGTTCTTTGCAGAATGGTGCTCCTGCTGGGCGCGTTCCTGTCGCAGCAGAACATGGTGCTACAGTGGATATACCACTTGATACAATGAATGTAATCAAGTTGCTATTTTTCTGAATCTTTATTTATCCTAACCACTTGAGATAGCTAACTACTTAATTGTATGGTTTAACTGGTGCAGGATTCTAAGAAGAAAGAGAGAGAACTTGCAGAGTGGGAAGTAGATCTAAAACGGAGGGAAAAGGTTATCCAAATAGAATAGGAAGTCTATTTCTAGCTAATCTAAATATTATCTCTTATGGCTAAGATTAGGACTCAATACTATTAGGGTTTTATTTAATCCAGGAATTTGATTATTTAGGGTTTAATGTTTGTTTTCTTTAGCAGTAATATTTCCTGAGTATGTTGGTATGTTACTCTTAGTTTTGAGAGGATTCTAGTTTTTTAATAAATAGTTCTTTAGAAAATTTTCAATCTTTCTGATTGTGTGCTGCAATCAAATTGTGACAAGACTTTTTTTTTGAAATAAGTGACTGTTAAGAATTATTAGGTGTGATATCTAAGAAACCCCTAGGTGTGATATGTAGGTTTAAATTTTATCTCAAAAAAAAAAGTGATATGTAGGTTTAAATCCCCAAATACTGAAGTTGCAATTTACCGCTTATTTCTTGAATATCAACTTTCATACTGATTTTTTTTTTTTGTTTTGAATAAAACTTTCATACTAAATCTTGTTTTGGATTTATTCTTTAGTCTCTTTTCTAAATGAACCTAATTCAAATAGGAAATAAACATCTTAAACTGAAGGCACTTATCTCTCTTTCTCTTGTCTTTTTCTTTAAACTAAAGGCACTTCTCTCTCTTTTTCTTTAAATTAAAGGCACTTCTCTCTCTTTCTCGTCTTTTTCTTTCATGTTGGCCAGTTGACCTCTTTGGCCATGCTTTTTCTTTCACTAAGGAAACTCTTGGTGATGGTAAGGAAAAGATTTGATATTGTCTGAGAAGTTCAATTCTAGATATTCTCAGATTTTTTGAGAATGGGTGAGAGCCAATTTGCTCTTTTGATTGTGAAATATCGCTTTTTTGATTTTTTGGGTTATAAGCCACAAGACTCTGAGATGGGTTTGTTGGGATAAGATCAATTTCTGTCAATTCGGTTGGCAGAAATAGATGGATGCAGTTCTTGGAGTTGAGGGAAAGGAATAAAGAAGGATCCCAAAAGTGTTCATCCCACAGGGCACTTAAGTTGATGGGTACGTGGAATTCCTTCTTGCTGTTGTGCAGGTTTGTGATCCAAGTGTGGAAAAATGGAAGAAAGAGATCAAGACGATCCCTTCTGATTTGAAGATGATGTCCAATTGATTGGGTGAGCAGCAATGCACTCCCATTTTAGTGGGTCTAAAAGGAGTTTTCTTTTGTCCTAAGTGCGACCATCAGATGACTCTTAATGTTCAAATCTTCAGGAGGTATGGTTAATGACAACTTTCAAGAAGTCCTCGTTTGTACCTTTGCAAATTTAGTCAATAAAGGCTGGACATGGAAAAGGTATTTTTGATTTGCAAAGAGGGGAAAGTCGCCCTTGCTTGTGGTAAATTTGGGCATGCAGGTTATGGCTCATGACCATCTCAAAGGTTGGGTCCTTGGGTAAAGGCTCAAAATCTGAGTTTTCTAAGCTTGTTTTGTTGGAGAAAGGTAAAAAGGTTGCTAACCCCAATGTCCTTTAATAGGCAAGCCCGGAGCACTCTTAAGGAGTTACCGCCTTTAAAGAGGGAGCTGATTTTGCTTTCTCTTCATCAACCTCTTCGGATGTTTTGCCATTTGCCTTCCATGAGAGTTGACACTGTTTGGGCGAATCTAGTACGAAGGAAGAGAGATCTTTATTGCTAGCAGGGTTTAGTAGTCCAATGGCCTCAAGTCTTCTAAGTAAGTTGCACACCATCCCCTATGGATCCTCTTCTTCTTTGTCTAAATATGGTTCTTGTCTTAGTCAAGGAATCCTTTTTCTAAACAAGCCTGCTGAATGGTGGTCTCTTGTTGCGTTGGGGGAAGGGCTTTCAAAGGGAGAAGCTTGTGGTGGTTTTGAAGGAAACCTTTGCTCACTCGTTTTCTATGCATTCCTTATGTAGAAGTGACATATTGGATTCTATTTGAACTGATGTTTTGAACTTCCATAGATTTATTGGGTTAGGCTTTGCAGGCTTTGAAGCTCAAGCTCTTGAGTTACTTAGTGCAATTGAAGCACGTACCGATAGAGGGGAGCATGCTAGTACTTATGCTGAGAGTCATGAGAGGAGCTAGAATGGAGCCAATGAAGAATTAAGAAGGCTTGATTATGCCGGTTAACTATGAGAAAAGGTCAGTTTGAAAGACATGTTGATACAAAACCAACAGTAGAAAATAAACATTTTGGGAAGTTTTACACTAAAAAGAATAGGAAAATTTTATTTTCTTTTTATTCTAAAAGGAGTAGGAAAATTTAATTTCCTTTCCCAATAGACATAATAGTTTCTAAAGTTACAACAAAGGAAAATAAGAAATCATAAGAAAGATTTCCTATTTTCCTAATTCTTGCTATTTAACTTATTTTCCTATTTTTTAGATTTTCTAACTTTCCTAATTTTGTTGTATTTTGGTACCTATAAATAAGATATCCTAACTTAGTTATTAAGTAGACCATTCATGATTATTATTTATATACTGAGATATTTCTTTAATATTGAGATCCAAGATCTTCATATTTTGATTCTTAATAACATTTTCATAAGTTTTGTTTTCAGGCTCTCTGTCATATATCACATGCAAGAGAATAAATCTTTATCTCTAGTGGTTTTCAATGTTAAGTAGAATGATCTCATGGAATGTGAAGGGTCTAAATGATAGGAGCAAGAGAACAATTGTTAAAGTCGGGAGAGAACTTGTTTGACTGCGTGAAACTAAGTTGTTGATTGGGGGGGAGGGGGGGTGTCACGAGCTTTGGCACAGTGGAGGTAGTTATTGGGTTGATTTTCCTTGCTTGGGGACATTCCAAGGTATTTTGATTCTTTGAGATGCCGTCTCCATCTCTTTTTAAGCTCTACAAGGAGGAAAGCATAGACTACTTTGGAATGACTTGAAGATGGTTAAGGACTTGTCTTCTCTCCTCTGGGGCATTGGAGGGGATTTCAAGATGGTGCTTCCATGTATACCTTGCAAGTTTATTCCGTTGAATTCAAGGATATGTTGATAGAATGAATCTCATCGATCTACCCCTTATTGAATGGCCACTGAAATTGGTCCAATATGAGAGAAAGAGCATCTTTCTCCTTCATTTCAGGTTCTTTGTCTCCTTTAATTTTAAGAACTTGTTTTTGTATCAAATTCAAAATATTCTTCTAGTGGTTGTTTTGAATCACCATCAAATCTGTTTGGAGCTCAATGATCTTAGTTGGGCCTCTATCCCCTTCTAGTTTGAAAATTGATGGTTTAAGGTGGAAGGCTTCCATCTCTTGGTCCGGTCATGGTGGGGTGAGTTAGAAGTTAAGGACCTTGCTAGCTTCAGATTGGCCAACAATTTGGTTCATGGCGAGCCTCATAGTAAGGGGTGGAGCTCTGTTGTACTTGTTAAAGAAGTTGCCTTTAGGAATAATCTCGCTCATGTAATTGTCAAGCTTGACTAAAAGGAGGCAGCTGAGAGCTTATTTGAGCAGGATAGAGAAAGGAGACAAGTAGTAGGAAGGAAATTGTTAAGTTTTTACTTATGGAAGAGGTAGCTTAGCCATAGAAATCTAAAATCATTTGTTTAAAAAACGGGGAATGGAACAATAAATTCTTCCATAAGATGGGCAACTATCACCATAGAGAGAATTACATGACTAAGGTTGTGGTGGATGGAGTATATGAGTTGGGCCTTGGTTTAATGGAGTTGTTAAGGATTTCTATTAGAGATTGTATGAATAAAAGGTATCTTGGAGGTCTAATCTTGATAGTATCGAGTTTGATAGAAGTGATGAAAGAGTTTGGTCAGAGGAACCCTTAGTCATGGAAGAGTTCCTTAGTGCTCTAAGTCTGCAATGGCACTAAAGTTCTGGGTTTTGGTAGTTTTCCCATGTGTCTTTGGCAACATAATTGGGGTGTTATAGAGATGATTGTTTCATCTCTTTTTTGCAAGCTTCGCTATGTTGGAAATACGTTGCCTCTTTGAACTCTACTTTCATTGTTTTGATTCATAAGGTGGAAGTTGCTGTAGAGGTGAAAGATTCGATCAATTAGCCTTTTGAGTAACATTCAATTGGAAAGGTCCTCGCTATCTGCTGAAGCCAGGCCCATAGCCATGTGGTGGGGAAGAGGCACACTTTTGTGGAAGCTTGGTTGTGATGGATGGAGTGGATTATGAGTTGGGCCTTTGTTTAATGGGAGTTGTTAAGGATTTCTATTGGAGATTGTATAAATAAAAGGTATCTTAGAGGTCTAATCTTGATGGTATCGAGTTTGATAAAAGTGGTGAAAGAGTTTGGTCAGAGGGAACCCTTAGCCATGGAAGAGATCCTTGATGATCTTTGGTCCTACAATGGCACTAAAGTTCCGGGATTGGGCGGTTTTCCCATGTATTTTGGCAATAGAGTTGGAATATTATAGAGATGATGTTTCATCTCTTTTTTGCAAGTTTTTCTACGTTGGAAATTTGTTGCCTCTTTGAGCTCTACGTTCATTGTTTTGATTCCTAAGGTGGAAGGTGCTGCAGAGGTGAAAGAGTTTTGATCAATTAGCCTTTTGAGTAACATTTAATTGGGAAGGTCCTCACCAACTACTTAAGCCAGGCCCATAGCCATGTGGTCAGGAAGAGGCACACTTTTGTGGAAGTTTGGTTGTGGTGGATGGAGTGGATTGCGAGTTGGGCCTTGGTTTAATGGGAGTTGTTAAGGATTTCTATTGGAGATTGTATAAATAAAAAGGTATCTTACAGGTCTAATCTTGATGGTATCGAGTTTGATAAAAGTGGTGAAACAGTTTGGTCAGAGGGAACCTTAGCCATGGAGGAGATCCTTGATGATCTTTAGTCCTGCAGTGGCACTAAACTTTCGGGATTGGGTGGTTTTCCCATGTATTTTTGGCAATAGAGTTGAAGTGTTATAGAGATGATGTTTCATATCTTTTTTGCAAGTTTTGCCACATTGGAAATTTGTTGCCTCTTTGAGCTTTACTTTCATTGTTTTGATTCCTAAGGTGGAAGGTGCTGCAGAGGTGAAAGATTTTTGATCAATTAGCCTTTTGAGTAACATTTTAATTGGAAAGGTCCTCGCCAACTGCTTAAGCCAGGCCCATAGCCGTGTGGTCGGGAAGAGGCACACTTTTTTGGAAGCTTGGTGGGTTCTAGACAATTCTCCCATTGCTAGTTGTTTTTTCTTACTTGCTTGAGAGGGTGAAAATTTTGATCATGTCTCCCATCTCCTAAGTTGTTTTTTCTTGCTTGCTTGAGAGGATGAAAAATTTGATCATGTCTCCCGTCTCGTTTTTTTTACTTGCTTGAGAGCATGAAAATTTTGAGAAAAGTGGCACACTTGGATCAAGAGATGATTCCAGAGGCTTGAGACAAGGGGACCTCACTTTCGCCTTTTTTTTTCATTCTTGTCATGGAAGCCATTCACCAAATGATCTAGATGGCTAGGATGGGCAATTTGATCCAAGGTTTGACTGCGGGTAATGGTCCTTCTAAGGAGATTACTCACCTCTTGTTTGCAGAGGATACTTATTTTTTTGTTATCTTGAAAATGAGCATATGGTGAACATCAAAAGTATTTTGATTTGCTTTGAGGCAGTCTTGAGGCTCAAAATCAACTTGGACGGATCTGAATTGGTTTTTTGAAGGCGCTTGTTCTAGTTGGTGAGCTACCTAATATTTAGGGATGGCAAAATGATACGAAAATATGCTAAAACTGTTTGCCCCGATAGAAACTGTTGCAGGTTTTAACTGAAACCGAGCAGGATTGGGGCGGGTCGGAGTGGTTTTCAATTTGTCTAACCGGGGCGGTGCAGGTTTGTGTTTGCGTTGTAAAAACCTGCCTGAACCACCCGTCACTGTTTATTAATTAAAAAAATAAAATATATATAAAATAAAAAACATATAAAGTAAATAAAACCTAAAACATTCCGCTTCCTCCTGTCCACACCTCATCTTCTTCTTCATCTTCATCTTCATCTTCATCTTCATCTTCATCTTCCTCTTCTTTCTTCATCTTCATCTTCATCTTCATCTTCATCTTCATCTTCATCTTCATCTTCCTCTTCTTTCTTCATCTTCATCTTCATCTTCATCTTCATCTTCATCTTCATCTTCATCTTCATCTTCCTCTTCTTTCTTCATCTTCATCTTCATCTTCATCTTCATCTTCCTCTTCTTTCTTCATCTTCATCTTCATCTTCATCTTCATCTTCATCTTCATCTTCATCTTCCTCTTCTTTCTTCATCTTCATCTTCATCTTCATCTTCATCTTCATCTTCATCTTCATCTTCTTCCTTTGTGGCTTCAAACTTAGATCCACTCAATGTATGTTCAGCTTCCTAAATTGTAGACTGTCGATAGGGCGGAGCAGTACTGATTTCACTGTAAACCAGCACAATGACAGCAAAAAAATGTTTTTGTTTTTATTAAATAAGCTGCCTGGTTACGGGGCAGTACATTCTGTACTGGGGAAGGTTTTGGCTTTGGTAAAACTTGCTCCGAATCTGCTCTGTTACCGTCCCTACTGTATCTAGGCTAGAGAGCTACCATCAAACCTATTAATGATCTTGGCTTACCTTTGGGTGCTAAGTTTAAGGATCTCAGTGTGTGGGGTCCTGTCATCTTGAAGATGGAAAAGCAGTTGTCCACTTGGAAAAGTAAGTATCTGTGACCTATCTATTAGAGGGAGACTAACTTTAATTAATGTCACCATTTCAGTTAGCCTATCTACTTTTGCTCTTTCCCATCCCTTTCTAAGGTGGTGAGAAGGATTTCATCTATCTCAATTCTGGGTTTTTTCTCCTAATCGTCTCTTCCTTCAGTGCTTGAAGTCTAGATGATTATGAGATTTTGCTCTTAGCCTCTCCAACCTCTCTTGGGTGGTCATTTGTTTGATGGCAGAGGAATTCTGGTTTGGGAGGCATCTTTTTTGCAAGGATAAGAAGAAGCTCATTTGCTTTCATCCTTTGGGCTGTTTTTGCGGCTAATTTAGAAGGAAATGAGTAGGGATGGTAACCTAGCGGGTGTGAGGTGGGTTTTACCGAACTTGAATTCGACCTGCCTATATGAAAAACAAATCCAAACTTGGTCCGAATTCGGGGTATGTTTTTTCTGTAGATTTTTTTGGTCTGTGTGTGATTTACGACTTATTTGAGCTGAATCTGATCCGGTCATTTAATTTTATTAATATTATTATATTTATATTAATAAAAGATTACAAACATGTTTATTAATATATAATAATATATACTAAATTTATAAATATAACTGTATTTATTAATATAATATAATATAATATATTTGTTAATATAAATATAACTATATTATTGATTGTAATATATTATATTTTATAAATATAATTATAAATACATTTGTAATAATAAAAATTAAAATAAATATACATAGTGGACTATAGGTTTTGGAAGGTCAAACCTGAACCTTTGGACCGACACTTTAACAAAATGAAAAAGAAAAACCATACTGGATTGGATTTAGCCGAGTTGGATTAAACTGATTGAGGTGCAAAATGCCATTCCTAAAAAGGAGCTATGGATCTTTTGAGGACGCTGTTTCTTGTTTTGCTAGATATTGGAGACTGCAGGTTTTGAATCCTAAGTTCTTGTTTAGAAGTCTTCTGTCTGTCTGGATTCTTGATTTTTTGTGTTCCTCTGGATGGTTTTGGGTTTCTTTTTTTCCTTCGTGGTATAGCACCCTCTTGGTGCCTATATATATATATATATATATATCTTTTTAACAAAACTTTCTCTTTTCCAGGACATAAAGCGAAGAGAAGATGCTGTTGCAAAAAGTAAGCAAATGATATTCTGGCTATTAATGTTATATATTCATATCATTCTTTTTTAATTTAAATATTTCTTTGAATCTTTTTCGTAAGTTTGTTATTTGATTTTGGTTTGACCATTGCTTTGCAGCTGGAGTTACACCAGATGATAAAAATTGGCCTCCGTTCTTTCCAATAATCCATCATGACATTGCCAATGAGATACCAATTCATGCTCAGAAGCTGCAGTATCTCGCTTTTGCAAGTTGGTTAGGTAAGGGAGGGTGATAATATTTTTTCCTTGAAAGAGTCATGTTCTACGGAGGGGAATAGGACAAATAGAGGATAAAATAGTCAAGCAGTGACTTGATTCCTCTAGCGTTCCAGGCTTCCAGCCAGGAATAAAGTCTACCGTGGTTTTATTAAATGTGGAAAGTTTCCTAATAATATGATAAGCATCTGCTTCTATATGGTAAAAAAACTCAATTGCTAGGAAAGTAGTAGTATCCAGAAAAGATGAGACCCATATAAAAATAGTTTCTAGATCAGTAATGATTTCCTCGACAATGAAAGTGACAATAGCTTCCTTCTTGAATGTAACAAGTATCATTTGATTGTAAAATGGGCACCAATCTGCTTGAGGTAATTTCATCTAGTTTAGTTTTAACATTTCTAAATTTTGATCTTAATTGGATCTGTGTAATTGCAAGATGTTTGAAATTTTTGCCCCAAAAAACTGATCTTTATTTGATCGGGTTGGTAATTTTTTTTAAAAAAATTGATTGTTTGTGGCTTTTCTTTTGCTCCACTATTTCTTTCTCCATAGCAGCCACAAAAAGGGAAAGAACTGATTGATGATTCGAAGCTAACAGGGTGAATATTGAAATGCACTTTAAGTGACACACTAAAAAGGAGAGACGGCATGGCTTCTCATTTTGTAAGATACAGTTTGGATGAATTATATGTACCATTGACCACAGAAAAATTAGATTATAGAAACAAGAGGAGGTGATCCTACCCATATTACTTTGTTGTATTGATCAACTTGTTGATTGAGGCACTTGCTTCTATGCATGCAATTCATTTTCTATGGAGTATTTTCTTTTCTTATGTTTTTGTTTTGGGTGTTTCTTTACTTATTTTTTGGGAGGAGGAAGTGAGTCACTGTTTTGCAGTCAAGTTTGTGATTGCTAATTTTTATTATTTCTTGAAATCTATGTTCTTAAAACTATGGCAAACCTTTTATACTGTATTGTGCATGTTTGGATGAGATTAAAGGAATGTTATATCTTTGGGGAAGCTTATGAGGAAATGGTTTAGCCATTACTCTCTATTCTTAGGGGTCGTTTTATCCTGATTCTTCAATTTGATGGAGGTTTATTCTAGAAAGTTTTCTGCTCGTTTGTAGTTGAAATATGTTTCTGATTAGCGTTTTTGTAATTTGTTCATAGTCACTTCTTGACACAATTTCCTGTATTAAACTTGTAACACTTAAATATTTTCTCTGAAGTTGCCTCTAATTAGCCTTTGGTTTTCAGTAAGGTAGTAGTCCTTGAAGGTGTCAGGAAGAACTCATCAAGGATGAAGTTCCCTGTTGGAATGTTTGTGAAAATTTTGTTGAGTCTTCTCTTTATAATACTTAACATCATATTGAAGTATATTGCAGGCAGTTTTCTTTTTTTTTTTTTTTTGACTTGTTTGTTTCCTGAGCTATTCATTCTTTTGCATATGTAACTTCTATAACCTTTTTTTTCCAGTGCAGGTAGTAGTTTTTCTTCAAAAAATAAGTTTTCCATGTTGGAGTAGTTAGTTTTCCTTATCTGAAATTGTTCTTGCAGGTATAGTTCTTTGTCTTGTCTTTAACATTGTTGCTGTGATTGTCTGCTGGACTAGAGGCGGGGGTAAGCCTATCTATTCCAACAATAAATTTCCATTCAACAAGAAGACAGGTTTTAGGGTATAATGCCATTTCAATATTCTGATAAGGTTTGACAATTCTCAGGTGGTAAAATCTTTTTCCTTGCAATAATCTATGCGTTGCTGGGATGCCCGCTTTCATATGTTCTGTGGTACAGGCCCCTCTATCGTGCAATGAGGTAATTATCTGCTGATCTATTCCTAATATTGTGCCTCAAGAGTAATGATTCATAGTTGGCTGCTCCTTATAGCATATTTTTCTATTATGAAATAATGAAGTTGGGTGACCAATGATCGAAAATTCTAGCAGTAGTAGAATTCGGAGAGGATCTTACTGCAGTTAATGCTTTGTGATTGTATCATGGATTCCTGATTATGTGATGCTTAAGGAGTCCTCTTTTGAGGTATGGTAAGTGACCTTTTTCTTAGATGTGATATCTAAGGAAGTCTAGGTGTATGCTAGCCTAGCATACATCAATTAGTTTATTGTCAAAGTTCCTAATTTGATAATAAATTTCTTTATGTATTTCTATTTATTGATTTTTCTGTGCTTTTATGTATAAACTATGCATTAGTTCTTCTTTGGTGTTGCTGGCTTTACTTCAAATAGAGCTCTGGTTAATCAATGGTGACATGGTCACAATGCTAGTTTTCTGTTTCTTTTTTGTATTCTAATCAGACAGGTGATTTTGGTGGTAGTGTGAACACCTAATAAATATGTAATGCTTTAATCAACTTAGTTGACCTTACATGACTTAATTCTTTATTTCTGAGGTGAATGCTTTGCCCTAGCATGTAAAAGGTTGTTTTTTATTAAACTCACATCCCAAATGGCTTTTTCTTTGCCCACTTGCAGGACAGATAGTGCATTGAAGTTTGGTTGGTTTTTCCTGTTTTATTTGGTGAGTTTGGGTAACAGCTTCCCCTTTTGAGAGATTGGCCCTGTGGCCAAGGGCCTGGCCTTGTTATTTGGAAAAAAAAAAGTTCTTCCGTATATCTGTGTCCTTCTCTTTCTCAGTTTTGATGCCCATTAATGAAAATGAACATGCAGATCCACATTGGATTTTGTATATTTGCTGCTATTGCTCCTCCAATCGTTTTCCATGGAAAATCATTGACGTAAGTATCTGTTGCTTTCCCCATTCTTGATTTCTAATAAAATAGAATTTTTGCTGTACTTGATCACCAATGCTCCATTGTCATTTTGGCTTCATTTCTATTTTTTTGTGTGTAGAGAAGTTATTCAATGAGATAATGTTGGCAAAAATGTTGAAAGTCCCCTTTAGATACTTCTTTTTTGACTCTATTAGATGTTAATAGCCATAGGATCAGTGACCTATTGAACAGAAGTAGTCGGATTGTATTTGCTTGCTGGAGAGGATTAATTTGTGGCATTATTGAAGGGCTAAACCATGATAAATTAAGGTGGTATACCATCTTACATTAATGAATGAATGTTTTCTTTTTTCTTTTTAATGAATTTTTTAGAAACTTCAAATTATTTGAAAATTGGGAACAGCATTTTGTTATTCTCTTTCATTATTGATTTAGTTGCAGCATGTACAGTCTGGAAATTTTTTTTGGATGTCACTGTCAAACTGGAATTTGAACTGCTGCATATATCCTGTTATGTAACTCCATTCTTCCCTTGATTATTATGATTTTTGTGCTTCGGTATGCCTTCACTTGACTGAGGCATAGTCATCAATTCTTTTCACCTAATTAAAACAGAAATAATTGATTATGTGGCTTTTGATAACTTTCTTGGTTCCATCTCTTATTTTATTTCTGTCTTTGTTATTCTTTTCAATTAAATTTCAGGGGCATTCTTGCAGCCATTGATGTCATCTCTGATAATTTATTGGTTGGGGTAAGTGGACATTACATGTTTGTTTCAAATATATTTTATTTCAATTTATTATCAGATTGTCAGATGGTTTCTTTTTCTTTGTTTAACATTAGACAAATGTTTTCAGAGTTTATAGTTAATATATCTGGAACTAAGGGAACACAGTGAAAATTATTAGGGAAGAAATAGGAAAGCATTACTGGAATCACATGTATTATGAATTTGTGGCTATTTTAACCAAGACCAACATTTAGAACTTTTAAGTCAAGTCCTGTAACTTTTCAGGTTAACTTGTTCAGTTGGAAAATATTAAAAATGAGTAGAATGGAAATATCAACTAGTTCGAGATATTCTCTTGAAATTTCTTTTAGTATGTTCGTCTGCCTGCCAAAACAAACTAGTTATATTGTAGATAAAGTGAGTTACCCCTCCTGATTCTTCGAGATAAAGTCTGCTTTTTGGCTCTGTATGGCAAATGGGTAACAGATATCAGCTTTTTTTAGACATTGGCCAGCTATTCTCCCTTTTGATTAGTTAGTCTCTCTCTTTTTCTAATTATTCTGGAGGATACCTAATGTTCCTATTAATATATTTCCTTTTTCTTTCAGAAAAAATTAATGGAATAATGCCTTTTATAAGTAGGGAATGGTTGTAGTTAGAGCATTAAGTGACTAACTGGTTAAGAAAATTGGAATTCCGTAGCAAGTATCCTGGGTTACATAGAGAGAAAGAGGAGAAGAGATTTCTGAAGGGTGGACACCCCTTTTTATGGGGTTATGAACAACTGGCTTCAGAACTTGAGCCTGTGGTGTTTGAATTGCATATATCTTGATCTTTTGACCTTTTGGTTTGCAGCTGAATGTGTATTTATCTTTTCACCAAATCATTCATATTTTGGTTTGTGTACATTAGTGATTCTACTTTACTGGTCTATGATTATTACTGTTTCTTGTCAAAACAGTATAATGTTGTTTAATTTTGTTTTGCTGATGTCCATATTTATCTTAGGTAGATCAAGCATTGATGGGATGAGTGTAAAATTTGATAAACTAAAACTACATAAGAATTTTTTAATGAAAGTGCTTGTATATTTGGACTTTAATGACTAAAGAGAACGAAAAGAAAGCAAAATCTTTGAGGAACACCATTGGGTATATAGTTTCACTTTAAATGTTCTCTTAATTTATTGGTTCTATTCAATTCATCTCTCTTTTCTTGTATTTGTACCTTGTGATTGAATATTTGATTATTGTTTCCTTTATCATTCTTGCCTTATTGGTTTCTCTTTGGCTTAGAAATTTGAAACTCTAACATCTTCATTTGTGAAAGTAACTGTAATCTGGTAGTAGCCACAGTGCAAAGCATTTTGATATTTTAAACAATTTCTAATATGTACTGAGGATAAAAGGACAATTATATATTACGTGAGAAAACCATCTTATTAATTATCTCAATTCTAATTTAATTCATTTAATGCTTGGTCTTTATGCAGATCTTCTACTTGGTTGGTTTTGGACTATTTTGCTTGGAGTCACTTATAAGCTTGTGGGTTCTTCAGGTTAGATTTTCTGTTTCTTTATAGTATGATAATGATATGATTGAGGTATCCCGGTAGCAAGTTTAAGGTTGGTTTGTCCTGTGCTCACAGTGGCACACATCAAGAGGGTTGTTATTGATTCCATTTTCCTTTTCAAACATCACAAATAAGAAAAAAATTATCCGGCTCGTCCCTAATGTCCTTTTTCATAGGATCCAATCTCTGTTGTTAGTTCACAGGCACTGTGTAATAGATCTCTCTATTACCCTAATCTTCTAATCAGTATTGTTCCCTCTCTAAGATGCTGATGATATGGCATTTATTAATCTCTCTAGTCGGTTAATTTGATTTGAGCTAATTTGTTAGTTTCTTTATAACGGCCCCGGAATTTTAAATGGAAATGTATATATAAGAAAAATTCTAAGTGCGGAAGCGGAATAAAAATTTTGATTAATATCCCTTACACAATAATCCAAATGTACTAAACGTATGAAAGAATAAACTAAATAAAGTAAATACTAGAGATGAATGTTATAAATAAAACTATGAAATCTTTAGACATCTACTCGCCGTCTTCCTGCGGTACGGGCTCGGGAACCAAGTCTTCCTGATCTGAAATGGTTAAGTAAGGAATGAGTTACACTACCCAAGTAAAGACATTACACTATCTCACTGTCACAGAAGTAAAGGTCGGTAGAAAACAAAAACGACCAATAGAGCATAATTTATAACAAACTCATTTATCAATAATAAAAACCTTTACTGTCCACTTACCTCGGTGAGATTCATGAAAATAACTTATGAGTAACAATAACATCATAAACATCATAAGATCATGCACACTCTGTAACATAATACATATCATACTTTTGTATTTCAATCATCAGACAACAAATTTTTTCTTTTATCAGCCTACTAGTATCTATGGGGATCCATAGGAGGTTTCCGCTACACGTGAACCATTCACATTAATAATTTAATTCCAGGGCCGTCCCCATACCCCGTCCGGTATGGACACCAAAACCATAAACCTTAATACCTCGTCCGATATGAGGGTAAAACAGACCGTCCCCATACCCCGTCCGGTATGGACGCCAAAACACATAAAGTTTTCATACCTCGTCCGATATGAGAGACTACGTTCTCGGTAGGGTTTCCTATGGATCCGGTCTGTCCACTATCTCCCAAGATATCTAGTTAGGCTGTCGACATTATCCATTTATCAATTCACATACCTTTTTCCATTTTTCTTAATCTCAATTATCCAATCAACATAAACACATAAACCAGTAATGGACACCAAACAAGGCCACACAACATCGGATTCACAATAATTCAAACCATAATAAATAAAACCGTGATTCATGCATACGAAACCATAGAACAAACACATCAGGCACCATATTGCATTCAAAACTGTAAAATAAATCAAACAACACCTGACCGAAAAATACATCAGAATCGGGCTTCATTAGCAAACTTAATTAATTATACATATCTATTAATTCATAACATACCATTTTATCATTTATTAAGCTTTAATACCGTAATAGGAAATAGGGTGAGAGATCCTTACTTGTTTCGGCATCTGAAATCGAGTTCTCACTGCGCTTACGGGCAGTCCCTAGATTTCATGAATTTTTTTCAGGAACTGAAACCCACTTCCTGTACATGGACGTGTCCCGAAAAAAACTCATAATCAGACCCAAGGCCTACTCGGCCAATATCGGAATTCCGGCACGGCGGCTCCGCTGTGCTCCGGTGATGGCGCCTCCGCTCGCGGGGGCAATCCGCCTCGGGTTGGCTGTTTTCGGCCGTTTTCGGTCGTATTCGGCCGTATTCGGCCCAACTTGCATTGGTTCCTGTGATAAGACACCCCTAGGATCCTCGGTGGGCCAAAAATATACAGAAAATTGAGACTTACTGCCGGTGGAGCTCTCGGGTGCGGCAGCTCCTCCGGCGCGAGTCGCGATTTGGTGTTTTGCTCCGGTCAACTTGTAGAGAAAAGGACGGTGGTCACAGTGGTATAAAAATTACATCGAACGGGAACCGGGAAGGGCCTCATCAGAGGCAAAAATTGAGAAAACCTACAGTGGCGCTGCTGGAATTCGGCGGTGTTTTGCGGCCAATTGACCGGTGGTTTGGCTCCGATTTGGCCACATGGAGGTTCATCATCGAAAAACGAGCCAAGGGGAGAATGTTACCTCGTTTGGCGGCCGAAAAATCCTCCGGTGCGGCGGCCGGTTCCTCTGGTGGTTGGGTTGTCTTCTCCGGCGAGGGTTCTGGCGGCTAGGGTTTGGGGTTAGGTGTGGATGCAATTATTTATAACCTTCCTCTTTTAATCTGAGCCGTCCATCACGATTTAATCTGAACTGTCCGATCGCGATTAAATTGGAAATAAATCTGGGCCGTCCATTGCGATGCGATCTGCGTTGTCCATACGTGATCAAATCTGCACCGTCCATCACGATGCGATCTGCGCCGTCCGTGCGTGATCAAATCTGGGCCATCTGCACGTGTGAGATTTGGGCCGTCCATGCGTTCTTTTGATCTGGGCCGTTGGTGCGCGCGGGAACGGTTCTGGGTCGTCCGATCGCGCGCACGTGGATCGCCCACGTGTCTCCGTCCCGCGTGGCTTCTAGCGTCAGCGTCCCTGCCACACAGCGTGTCCTAGTTGGCCGGGGCTGCTGACGTGGCTATTGATGTGGCGCTATTTTTTTAAATTACGTTTTGACCCCTGGTTTTCGATTTTCTTTTCAAAAACACTCCCAGAATCCAAATTTTCTCCTTTTTTTTTTCAAAATCATTTTCAATTAATTCCTAAAAATTAATTTTATTCCATTTTATCATTATTATTATTTTTATTTCTATTAAATTAAATTAAATTAAAATATATAATTATTACAAAATAAATTAATTATTAAAATGAAATAAAACCAAAATAATTTCAATTAAAAAAAATAATAACAATAAAAGGTTTGGGTGTTACATTCTTTGTTTCTGCACAACTCTAAGCATACGACTCATTTATGGTTTTGAGGTGAGAATGACAAGGAGTTTGATTTAGTTTATCTAGTAGAACTGAGAGAAACATGCTTCAAAGATGTTTAGGGGTGATTTGCTTATTCCATCAGGACATGAAATTTTATTGTCCACTAGGTAGGAGATAGGAGAGGATGTGAAATGAAAAGGCCATTTGGGGTGCTGTATGGTTAGCGGAAGACCTGAAAGGGTGGTTAGAGGTCAACTGAAGGCAAAGCAATGGTCTTGGTCCAAAATGTTGAAGGCAAAGCAATCGTCTTGATCCAAAATGTTGAAAGCCTTCTTGTTACGGGGGGAACAATGGCCACACCAAGAAGTTTTCTTGTCTTGATTTTCCTTAGTGATTGCATTTGATAGGAAACAGGAGGGCAGGTAAAATTGGAGGAATGGAGCAAATCAATTTGGACTGAATCCTGTTAATAGTTGGATGGAATAGTAAAACTTTTTTACGTTACCAAGAATCATGTTTGTTAACAATGGCAAGTGTGCAAATGTTACTATGTTCCATATTAGTGGGTGGTGGCAGTTTGTTTCTCGAAGGAATACGTGGGTTTGTAAGATTATGTCAGTGCCTCAGTTCTGCATGGATTATGCAATGATATGTTTTCTTGGTACTTGATTAGTTTCTGTCATAGTAGGAAGTAGTCGGTGAAACTGAGATTATGGGGGGGAGAAGTAAGGAAAAATCAAGACTTCGTTATATATAATGGTCTATCTGTCAAGTTTGATCTGCCGGCTAATGTGGCCAATTTCAATCATTTTATGTTTTAGTAATTTCAGCTCTTAGATTAGCTATATTTTACTGATTTAGAATAACAGAAAGCAATTGCAAAATTTTATATTTCATGATCTATGGAATTTTTTTAGATTGGCTTTTGGACAGTTGCAGAAAATTTGGATTGTTTCAATAAATGAAGGAAGAGTAAAAATTGATTTCTGATGACATTGACTTGGGAATTATCGTTTTCACCCTTTCTGTTGACTGTCATTGATATATCATTTCTGTGTGCAGAAAATTTATATATATTTCAGGGGAAACAAGTGAGAGATTGGATGTGGAGAGCTTCGAAGTTGAATTTATAGTCACTGTTCTTGAGGTGGTTTAGTATATATCTGTATTTCTTTGGCCTTCCAGTAGTGTTCACTATAATGATTATATGATGAGTTGATGTATTGGTTTATTGTTTTAGAGATTTTAGGAATATATTTTCCCTTCCATGTGATAGAAATATTTATTCAATTCCCATTTTTGATGATTAGTGTATATTGCTTTTGGTCAATAGACTGGAAAATGAGTGCTAGTAAATCAAGTAGATATGTTGTTGGCTGTCACGGGATCCTTACTATACCCATTTGATTATGTTAAGAGTTCGGAGTATAAACAATTTTTTTAAAAATTAATTTTTTTTAATAATAATTTTTATTTTTTATTTAAAAGAATAAAAATTTTTTTTCAAAAAAAGGCCTCAAGGGGGATCCGCCCCGATACAAAAAATAGACCATTTTAATTTTTTTTTTTTGGAAGGTTCCCGGTTTTTTCCCCAATTTGAAGTTAATAGACCTAGATTTGAAATGTGGTGGGGTTAAAGAATTAATGGGTTTTTTTTTTTTTTTTTTTTTTTTTTTTTTTTTTTCTTTTTAATTTTAATAAGAAAATTAACAAAAAATAAAAATAAAGATTATTATTATTTTTTGTATTTTCAATCTAAATTTATTCATTTTAATTGGATCAGGATGCAGGATGAAGTTGAAACTAATTGGTTCTTTTAGTGTCTTGGTGTCTGAATCTGAGTACTGGTTCAAGTAACTTTTAATCTGGCTCGATTTGGGCCTTGGTCGAAATATTAGCACTCAGTAAGTCTTGAATGGAGTCTTTGAGCATTATATATGCTATGGATTTACCCTTTGCAAAATATCCAAAACAATCAGCCAATAATCTCCTGGATTAGCAAAAGAATGAGGATTTTTTGAACATCTTTCTTGTTTCTTTTATTTTAAGTACATAATATGTTGTGTTTACCCTTTGCAAAATATCTAGAATAATCAACCAATAATCTCGTGGATTAGGTTTTTCCAAAATGTTTCCTACATCTTTTTTAAGTTAAATGGGAGAGATTATCTTGTCTTCTGGACTTTAGAGATGTTGCACCTTCTCTAACTCTTTAAGTTTCTCCTCAACATAACAACACATGGCCCAAGAAATTAGGAGAGCCATAATGGAATTCAAAAGCCTTTTAGACTTTTTTTTTTTTCTTTAAAAAATATCTAAAAAGGACTTTTAGTTTTAGAACATAAGTCAATTGTCCCTGGAAATTCCTGTAAATGTAAAAACTGTAGATTATTCATTCTTTTTCAGTTCAAACTTTAGGTGAATAAATGGCTATTGATTATTTGATATACTATGAGAGTGTTTAAATTTTAGTTGCAGTCTTATTTTTATTGTAGGGTGTGGTCATACTTTATTAAGCTAATGAACTTACTCTTAGGAGACCATTAATATATAAATATCGTATTAAATTATTTTCTGTCAAAGTTAAGATTGTAGAATAATTAATTATAATCTATTATTTAACAAAAGAATAATTCACCATAGTATACCTATTTTTCACAGGTTATTTGACGTAAACATCCTATCCTATGCTGTCGCTCATGCAAAGAAACGAAAAAAAGAACAAGATGATGGCATGGTTTTCCTCATTTTTTATTGAAAATATGATCAAGATACTTGGCAGTAATAATTGTATGCACGGACCATGTATGTCGTAAATTATAGAAAACACTATATATTTAAGACATTTTCATTTGCCCAAGATTTAATACAAAATCATAACAATTCATTTATGTGTATGTTACATATTTTAACACAATATACCCTTCTTACAAATTTACAACATAGAAACTGCTGTTTCAAAAGACAACATACCCCCATGTGCAATAGGTCTAGACATAACACTTCCAATTAAACCTGCGTGATCCGACCAAAAAAAAAAAAAAAAGACGTTTTAAAACCAATAGAAAGCAAACCAAACTACCAATTATCTATTGGCTGGATGATGAGTAGTTCCACCTTTGTTTTAGGAGGATGCGATTCTAAGTGGTGGGTTGTATCTTGTTTTTCTTTAGTAAGATGTTGTGTTAATATTGATGTGTGAGTACCATCTAATTAATAAAAATATATAAATTTTTATTTAAAAATTTGAAAGCCATGGGTGAATTATAATATTGAATAATCGTTTTTTTTTTTAGCTAATCAAACTTAAAAATCTTGCATTGATATTTTTAAGTATCATTGCATGATTTAAATGCAAATTGAGATAATTATGTATTTTTAAGTATTTAGGATTGCTGAGAAAACTCAAACCACACAATAGTTTTAAGGTTGTGAA